CTTACTTGAATTCCCAGATAGGTTGCGGAAATAAGATAATCATTTCATTTGATGAAGTACACTCCTCCTAGGCTCTTGGCCATTACTATAATGATCTTGTAGCCAACCCATCCGTTATCTGAAAATGTATCTTTGAGCGACCATACGTTGCCCAATATCAACCTAAGCCAGTAACAATGTAATATATCGCGACACAATTTGCTATTAAATCGTATGCACCCTTCATTTGAGCACAAAACTTTCTGAATTTATATACTAAAATCGGGGTTATATAAAATTTTCTTTTCATTTATCAGTGAAATTGTGATAAGAAAGTTCTTTTTCTAAACAAACTAACCCATCGGTGCTTTAAAAAGGGATGCAGGCGAACACTAACAGATAGATGGAAAAATGGATAAAATACCTAATCAATCACTCTCGCTAGAAACTTCATCAGGTACATTTCATATGCAATAGTATTATAATTCAGAAAACGGAAGTCCGTTTTAAAATTATCTTTGTCCCTGAGCATCAGTGAAAAGGGGCTATCTCACCTCGTATCTGCCATGTGGTATCACCAGCCAGAGATGCTTCCATTCCTCACGAAATCGTCGCCGTCTGTCCTTTTCCCGCCAGGTCAGATACTTGTAGGCTCCGTTGGTCGGTCCAGATCCTGTCGTTTGTCCATTCAAGCCTGACCCGCTCGCCGGATTGGCTCTTCCGCCCCTTCCGCCCGGCCCAAAGCCCGGTCCAAGTTGGCCGCCCCCTGATGATGCGGAACCGGTTCTGTGAGCCGGCATCGGTCGGTGGGTGGTTAGCGCCAGAATGCCTGTCTCGTCTGACTGGCCTTCGGATCGTGTGATCGGGTTTCCAGCATAGGGCGACACCGTGTGTGACGGAGGATATGTCGACATGAGGTAGGCACCAGTTGGTGTGGTATAGGCGGCTGGATGAGGATAGGGATAATGTAACTGTCGCGCGGCATAAGCCAGATTCGTCTTGGTGTATGGAGACATGCCGGTACCAAGGGCCAAGGAGGCGCCGCTGAGTCGTGGTCTTCGGGCGATGTGATGTCCTGTAGGTCGAGCAGAGGGCCCCCGAGGTGGCAAGCCGGGTGGGGCTGGCAAACTGGAAAACGAGGGCACAGAGAGCCCGGCAGAAGTGGGAAACTTCTGGGAGGAAGTAGACGAGGAAGAAGAAGAGGAAGAGGAAGAAGAGCAGGAAGAAGAGGAGGAAGAAGAGGAGGAAGA